TGGCCATTCGAATGCAGTACCGAAACCGGTGGTTCCTCGCTCTCAACACCCAGGTCAAGGCCGCTTTGACCGTTGTCGTGTACGTTCTGCTAGTGGTGACCCGAAATACCAGCAGCTACAACGCCGCCATCGGCAGTTTGATCGGCATTTGGCTGTTTGCCCTCGCGTCTGGGTTTGGTTCCGTCGCTGTGAGTAAGTGGTTTGATCGCCCTCCCCCCACGCCAGCTTACCCCCAGAGCTTTTCCAAAGACGACATGTCGGTGGAGTTTTCCAAAGCCAACATCCCCCGCAACCGAGTGGGGTACCTCAGTCAACAATACGGCCGGTGGTCGTTGTTGGGAATAGTCCTCGAAGGCTGGCGGGGAGTGCCTACGGGCCCCAAGTCGTTTTTGATGGCCTGTCACAGTATGTTGGTCCATTTGTCCACTGGGGGGACTGTGGAGCCCTTGATTTGCAAGGATATCACCCCAGACTCATTTAACAAACTGGTGCTAGCGACTGTATGCATGAAGAAGCGACCTGGATCGATCGTGCCTACGATTTCAGCTGCACGTCAAAGCGAGCAAGATATACTGGCACTGGAAGACACGTTTTGAAGTAGGGTAGTAATACCAGGTATTGCATTTTACATAGAATAATGCAAAATTTTCATGAGTGTCTGTCTACGTTCCAATGACGCTGAGGTACAGTATTAACGTTGGCTCAAATACTACCGACCGAGCCAGCGTAGTACTATCGAAGAAGAGCATTTCTAACCTTAAGATAATACTCCACGGAGTTGTACGAGCTAAGGTTGGGCTGGATAAGTGAAACACAAAACAGTTCTGAATGCAGCTTACGATCATGTTTGCTTTCTTGTGGCTTCTGCCCGTCCCACCAAGGATGCTATTCTTGAAGTGACGGTTAAACACAACCGGAAATATTGGTCGTAGAGTCAGATTAATGATTCACTTCCAAATACATCACGTCGGATCTAAGTACTCGCCTTTGCAATACACGTAAGCCACGGAAGACATAAGTTTATGAGCCCAATGGCCTAGAAGTACAACTTTGATTCAACAACCAAGCTAAAGGCTGACGGGGCTAACTACCGCGATTGGTGCGTGAAAACCCTCGCCAAGAACAATCAACAACGCCTGGGCAAGTACCTATGAAGAAGTGCACTATAAACAGTCACGACATTGAATTTCACACGGAGAGGGACAACCTTGTCGCTGACGATCCATGCCGACCACTTGAAGTACGGCCAAGCGGCCACCACGACACGTGACACGTGGGAAGCCCTTCGCGTCATCTACGACCCACCGAGGTGAACTTAGTCACACTACAGCTCCAAGTGAGCAAGCTGGAGTGGAGCGAACGGTCGGAAATAGTAACCTTTACCGATTAGTTGCAAGAATACACAAGAAATCTCGTCGCCGCTGACGATACGACACTCGTCAATGCACACTCAACCGCTACATTTGCCTTCAACCGCTACGATTTACCAACAGCGTGATGCATCACGCGACGAGAGCGCCACAGCGTACCGAAACTTGCTGGCCATCCTAGATGAAATCCAATTAGATAATAAACGACAGAAGATGCATAACCCAAATCTTAAGCACAAAGGCGGCCACATGGACGATGCGCTTCTGGCCACTGGCGACTTCCACTACTGCGGTAAGAGCAGACTGCCGCTGCAAACAAGGCGACGAGTCCCGCGGCGGCATCTTCAGACTCACGCTAGATAAACCCACTTGTGACAATAATGGTGCTCGCGGTGGATAAGGAGGCCATGGACGCGGTTGAGGACATGGTCTCCCAAGTACAGGCGCTGATGGAAGATTTGGTGGTTGAGGAGCCCGCGCGCCGTGGCAACTGTAATGACCCAAAGTTGTGTTGCCATTATGGATATACCCGTAGTCCTAGCACCCACTTGAAGCGCCTGGCTGGAGCCATTCAAACGGCCACGCCCGGTTTGGGGTGGATGGCTGGGGGCGGCGCGGTGTGTGGTGCGAGCAGGAAGGGTTAGGGCAGGACATGCCAAGTGTGGTCTCTGAGTACTCAGGCAATGTCTCATCATTGCAAAGCTCGATCCACCCCACGTCCACCGCCCAACGCTCCACTAACTCTAAGTCTAAATCCCCTTTTGGTTCCACCAAAGGGGATTTAGACTTAGAGTTAGTATAGGATTAGTTTAGTCAGTTAGTGAGTAGTTCAGTTCTAGTTTTGCCTCCAACTGCTCAATACACCACCAAGCTTTGCCCGGGAGTCCACTGTTCCCCCAACATTGTGTTTGTGATGAGAAGTTGCACGAAGGCGCAAGTTGCGACAACGAATTCTTTAGTGCATCAAGACTAGCACTCAACAAGGATGTCCCAGAGTGGACAGGACCGATCGCGCCAGGGGCGCAGCGACGACGCCCAAAGACGCACGAGCAACGGACCGCGCGAACGACCGCTGGAGAGAATCGACGGGTGCACACGCAGTCCTCAGCTGCTTCAAGTGGAAGGGCATCCGCCAGGAACAAGTGTGCGCCAGTGGCTGCTAGACCGGGAGACATATGAAATGGACCTGCGGGTCGTATGCATGCGTCGAAACCTCGAAGTGCGGAACTACCACGAAGGATGGAAGGAGTGCTTCGATATTGTTGAAGCAGTTCATGCTCATTCGCAAACTACGAGGCGATCCCAAGGAGCTCTACGAAGCTGCACTCGAAACAGAGCTACTCAAGATCATCAACGAACCCAAGAACGGCGTTGAAGCGGACATCCCTCTGCTATTCCACGGGATCCACATGGACATGAAGGAGGACGACGTTCTCAGCCGCGTGTGCAAACGAGCGAATCGAAGCACGCGTCATGAAGGGGCATTTGAAGAAGCCCGAGCTGCGGAAGAAGATCTTCAAACGGCTGCTAGAAGTGATGGACCCAGATCCAGTCCGAGATGCGTGCGTCCTCGACATGGAAAAGGCGTGGCATCCGGTGGAATTTACGTGGGAATCGATCAGCGAGTTGGTAATCCATCATGCGCAAGAGCAGCAGCGTTTTTACTCGACATACAGCGCTGGACGTAAAAAGCCGGGCTATGAAGCCAAAGCAGCGAAGAACAAAAAAGAAAATCGAAAGGGTGATTACAGTCGACAAGAACAACGCGACGTACGCCCACGACCGTGAAAAAAGCCGCATTCAACGGCGCGACAGACGAATGACAGCGAAGACGAAGTAGACGAGCCGGACGTGATTCGGCGGATGGGATGAATGATCCTAAAAGCCAAACTAGCTGGGGCTAGCAGAACTGTGCAGTGCGTTTATGGCTGGAGTCAAAATTAAAACAACGTGAACCAAGGGAAATCATGCCGACGGGGTGTTTGAAGTGCGGCGACGCAGCCCATCTATACGACAAATGCCCCAGCGCATCGGCCGAGGACAGAGCCAAAATCAAGTACGAATGGGCGCTGGTTGCAAAGCGCATGCAGAACGGGAAGGCCCTCAAGCTCAAAGCAAAGAAGCTCCGGGACAGTCTCATGACAGCCAACAAGAAGTGGCGGGAAGAACAAGGACAAAGCCGTGTGGCAAAGGCAACGGAGCCTGAGAAAAAGAAGCTCTGAAGAATACTGGAAAACCCTGCCGGCGAAAGCGTGGCCACCATCAACAGTGTGTTAGACGTGTCATATTGTCCTGACAAGGAAGCGATGTGGGAGTTATTTCCACCGCCATGGTCGAGACATTATGCTAGCTGGACGAAACAGTCCATACAACGCATCTGCCAACAGTATTGGTTGGAAGCGCTGTCGGAAACCTTCCCGTCACAGCGAAGAAGACAGTGGAATTGCGAACCACTCTGAGCGCGGCCGCCGAACAAGTCAAGCTGCCTGGAAAGCAGCTGTTCTACGTGGTTGACAACAATGACGAGCTCATTGTGAGGAAATATGCCCTGATATCGATTGGACTCGACATGGATAGATTACTCGAGCAAGTGGCCGTGCGCCAAATACATGAAGACGGCGACAACATCGGCGACCCCGGCGCAGATGAAGACATCGCATTCGGTGTCAGCGTTCGGGGACTGCGTGCAAACGACAAACAGCTGGACGTGGAAGACATGCGAGCCGCTGAAAACCTCTACAAGGTGGCAACTACATCCGCGAACGCCGCTGACCAAGCGCAGGCCGCGACATTTAAACAACTACAAGGAATCGTCGTCGACGCCGCCACCAAAGCAGTATGGGGAACCAAGTTCAGAGGCACAGACCTCCCGGCGAATGTGAAAGCGATGGAACTACGACTCAAGACGGGTGCACGCCCCTATCGTTGCAAACCTAGAAAGGTAAACCCCTTGACGGGTATGTTCGTCAAAGCGTTTGGCAAACAGCTGGAGCAAGACCAAGTTATTTATGCAAACAGCTCAAGCTCCCATCCCATCCCCGTCAACCTGGTTATTAAACCAGAAGTTAAGAAATTCGTCAAGACAAGCGATAAGTGGTCAATCAAAGAACTGTTGCAGTACTTTCGTCTTACGATCGACTACAGAATCATCAATAGCCAAACGATCCCACCATGCCGTTACAGCTCCTCGTGTTAGAAAACATCCGCGACGCCAAGTACCTAGGCGAGTTCTACCTTACGAAAGGTTTCTAGCAATTACCACTCGAGAGGAACGCACAAGAACTTCTGTCCTTTATGCTCGGCTACCGCATTATGACCACAACGAGAGTTATGCAAAGCCACTGTGACTCGGCCCTATTCTTCCAGAACACCATGGCGGAATATTTCAAGGACCTTCTGTACAAAAACTTCCTTATTAGGATCGACGACATCCTGGAGTGGGCGAACACCTTCGACGAGTATGTGAGCGTGATGCGCGCCGTGTTCGATGTATGCATGAAGTTCCGCCTGCGCTTGACTCCACGCAAGAGCAAGCAACTGTGCAGCGAAATCAAATGGTGCGGCAGAATCATTAACGGCGACGGAGTGCGCTCAGACCCTACGAGAATCCAAGCGCTGTGCCACATCCCGTACCGGACGGATGCAGGCCAGCTGCAGCAATTCATCTGCGCAGTGAACTAACTGGATATGCGACAGTTTGATTGGCTTTGCCCACACGATCGACTTACTCCAAAAATGACTCACAGAAGCGTTGGTTGGAAAGAAAAGAATCGCGACATCAATCACGATCGGCCTGACCAAAGAAGAACGTAGCAGCTTCGACGCAGTCAAAGAACTGATGCGAAACGCCGCCCAATGTGCCTGTTCACAGACGCTTCCGCCTACGGCTGGTTCATCGTGGTCACCCAAGTCCATAATTACGGCGACGACATCCCGATCCAAGACCAACAACATCAACTACTTGTATGCCAAAGCGGCATGTTCGACATATTGCAAGTTAACTGGTCGGTTATCAAAAAAGAAGGCTACCCTATTGCGCGTGCCTGCGACACTCCCAAGTACCTGCTGCTACGACCCAAGGGGTTTCTCATGTATTGTGACCACAAGAACCTCATACGCATTTTCGCGCCCCACGTAAGGCTCAAGGCACACATGCGCTAGAAGCTGATCCGCTGGGCCGACATGATCGGCCAGTACCGCTATGTCATCCAACACATCGGCGGAGCACACAATCTATGGGCTGACCTCATGAGCGGATGGGGCATACTGCAGCCCACAGAGGCGAAAGTACGACGAATTTGGTGGGAAAGACCGCCGAAATGGCGACACCACTCATTCCGAAGGACGGAACATCGAAAGTACGTGCGCGCGCTGGACAAATGAACAAATAAAAAGAAAAAACAACCCAAACATATCTACAAGCCGCCATGACCGCAGCTGCGACCGTTAAACTATACCGACTTCGTGTGGCCGAACCTCGACGCTATACGACACGCCCAGGTTCACTCTACATATACCAAGCCCAACGACCACGATGGCCGCGGGCTCCTCGAAGGCTTCGGAACCAGCTGTGGCCTAAGATGCAGTTGCTCATGCAAGTCAAGCCGACAAGAATCTACGGGAACCCTACCGCTTGGTGTAACGACATGTTGTCCATCGAGTTCCTTCGACACCACTTTGGCTCGCGCGAAGACATGGACAAGCGAGTATTGATGGCCTGGGACTCCTTCTCTGGTCACTTGACGGCAGGTGTCGAAGCCTAAACGGAGTCCATCAAGGTCGAGCTCATTAAGGTACCATCTTCGTTCACCTATGTCTGTCAGCCGGCAGATGTCGCGTGGATGCGTCCATTGAAGGCTCGTTTACGGAAGCGATGGATTCAACACATTCAAGACTGTCTGAGTTCGTTTGTGCCTGGTGCGACATCGGTGGTTTCATTACTCGCGCCAACATTGTGTCAAGGGTCGAAGATGCGTGGTCTGATATGGCATCAAGTCACATTATCAACGGCTTTATGAAGTGCACGCTCACCCCGTGCGATGGAACTACAATAGTATCGTCGGATCCTATTGTGGATGTAGATTGTGATATGGACGATGTTCTGTACGTGCTTTTGGCCTGGTCAAGGTTGTAGATCCATCTGTAATTGAATTGTGATTGACTTGTATTGTTCAAATATAGGCACAAAGTAGGATTATGTACTATTTGCGGCAATTTCTTTGAGGTTTTAATAAAAAGTACTAGGTTAAACAGCCAGCGAAAGTCCTTTTGTAACAAATCTCCTTAAAAAGTGATTTCTTCAGGACAATTTGGGAATGAAATCAGGTTTAACTCAATCTACACTTGTTAAACTACAAAGGAAAAACCTCCGACATCACATATAGAACCTTCGGGAGATACCGAGGGTGTGTAACGTGAAACTGGCCAGTCACAAGTGGGTATCACTCCAACATTGAGTCGTAAAATACGGTAATCAAGTGAAGTACGTACGTATTCCATGCGGATGTACTGTACAGAATGGAGTAATTTTCAGTTAACCTTGCATTCAAAGGAAGAACTGGTACATCCGATGAGAGCACCATGCCAGTACTCTGTCTAGAACTAGGAGTACTAGAAGGACAAGATTTGATCAGCGCATAAAGTACAGTACAGTACGAGATTTGACACTGTACAGTATACAGTACAGTACAGTACTACGTACCTAGTACTAGTACTACTCAGTAGGTGCAGTACTGGGTAATGTAGTACTAGTACATACACTATCTTGTACTGTCCTAGTACTGTATTGTTCCAGTACAGTAAATGGACGTACGGATTGCAGTGTGGCTCAGTAAACTGATACTGTATTGATTTGCCGAACGTCTTGCCCAATAGAGTGTCAAAATTTGATATGATAGGATCAAACTATTTACAGGAGGAATGAAACCCTTGGTTAGTTAATATTATTCGAGGACTTATGTTATAGAATCTCACCCTTATTCAGAGGTACGTTGAACCTATGTACTTACAGCTAACAAGTGTAAAGGCTTTATAAGCGTATAGTAACTGTATAAATAGATATTTGTATTGTTTGCTCGAGGTATTACTGTACCAGTCAATGATGTTTGGAGTGGTCATCATTACAATTATATTACTTCAATTCCAAACATTTTAATTGCCTTCTAATTGAATCGAGCTAACTCATGATTCTCTCTTTCGAATAAACCCAAAAAGTATCGATTTAAACTTAATGAATTTTTTAAGTTGACGCCTTACATTTATGGGGTGATTTTTATGACTGAGTTAAGTCTGGAAAACGTAGATTTCAGTCACAGGTAATACATTTCGGGAGTAACAGTGCGGCTAAAAAGTGTAGGTTTTTCTTATCTGATATGGAGATGGTGTTCGCCGGCCAGCTGCTGTTTAGACAGGTCATGCATTTATAGAGACTCTATCGATACGAAAAAACCCCGATGAAATCGGATAAATATTCCAACCAATACGACGCCAAGACCCGTCGATGGCTCCGCCCACTGTTAGATAACATATGACTAATATTATCCAATCAAAACATTTACGAAAAATACTCATCAGCGATTGGCTAAAATCATTATTCGCGGGAAAACAATTTAAATTCGCGCGCCCATGCGTGTCAGCGACACGTATGCATTGCATTTGGCAACTTACGATGACACAAGCACGTCGGAGTAAGATCAGTCCTCATAAAAAGCCAAGACGACGCTACTCGCACGCCGTAAAGCGCGACATGATCATCAAGATGCAAGACACCAGCGTTCGTGACCTCGAATCTGAGACGAGAATCCCGAAGAGCAACTTGCCTCGCTGGTCGCAGCAGAAGGAACAACTCATGAACTTTGAAGTCAACCTCCATCGGCCTCAATGGAGCAGGCCGACCCGAAGAAATTCCTGACACCGACGCACTGACCGCGTACATGCTAGCGTACATGCTAAACCTGCGCGAGGCTGAAGGTGCCGTCATGCACCCACCTTGTCAACTACCTCAAGCGCCATCAGAACGATTGGCTTGAAGCGTACCTGCAAGACAAGCGCTGTGGGTATCAGACCTTCCTACGTATGTTGCAAACGTTTTGTGGTCGTCACGGGCTCTCGCGCCAAAGACCAACAAATACGAAACGACTTCAAGGCGACTTGGATGAGATCCGATAGGCGTTCGCGCTTGAGTTCAACACTGCATTTGATGGTTTCAGTTCTGACTGTATCTTTAATGTAGATGAGACAGGAATGTCTTATGACATTGCGTGGTGGAAGTTCCAAGATATCGAGCGGCTAGAAACACTCTTTTCGCATGACTGCTGTGTTGTCAGTACGCGCCGACGGCTCCAAGCTTCCAATACTCTTCATTATGCGTGGCATGCCTGGTGGCCTGATTGAAAAGACTGAGTTCGATGACTTTCCTATTGGACACTTCTACGCCGTTCAGCAGCGCGCGTGGATGGATAGGCTGGATGCATTGTTGCCCCGATTCCTCCGAATGCGACCAGTGCCGTTCAGCCGCTTGATGTTGGTATTATGGCACCTTTCAAGCGACATTTGCGTGAACTTTGGCTCAAAGAGGATTTGATTGAGGGCGATGATGACGAAGACATTGACCTTATGACGATGTCTGCCCAGATGAAGCGCTTGGCCATGGTGCAACGTGCCATCAAATCATGGGCACTTATAACCCCTCAAAAATTCGCCGCAGCTTTTCTAAGGCCATTCCCAAATAATTTGAATACAAAGTCATTTCACCGCTTTCTTATTTGTATTTGGAAATTGAAGTTTAATAGTGAAGTAAATCTAGGAAAAAGTTTGGCACACCAGGGTCCCCTCAATTCGCCATCCGACACACTAACCACTGCGCCACCGCGTCAAACGCTTATCTTAATGTTGTTGCATCCAACCAGTCAATAAAAAATATTTGCATGTTCAAAATTTCGAGATTCACAATTCTCTTGAATGATTGGCTACAATTATTTTCGAATTTCGAAGTTCTTCTGCCAATCATTTTGCGATGTGTGCCCAAATCGAAGTACCATGGTGTCCCTTAAACTACTCGTCGTGTGTAATACCGTTAACGTTAGAAGAAGTAAGCGATGAACACCGAGGAGACTGCGCCAAGAGCATAAGCGGTATTCAATTGAATAGGGCAATTATCTGCCTTGTCTGTCCGGGTACTGTAATTCCCTCATTGAAACAGTATTTCTGAGAATAGAAACAGTAGTTGTGTTTTACAGTGGTCGAGACCCTTTTTGTGCTTGTATTTTAGATTCTTGCGTGAAAAACGCGCAAAACATTATATATTGTAACCTTGAGTTGTAACGGCTACACAATTATTAAAAATGGTTAAATCAGATACAGAACTTACTTGTAAAAGGTTGCTTTATTAAAATTAAAACTGTAACAACATATTAATACTTTTAATAAAATAGAAAGGGTCGTGGATGGTCTCGATAATCAGGGAATTGTTCTGTCTTACGATTGGAAAGTTTGAATATGCTTCATTTGCTGATTACGATGCAGATTGATTCATGGCATTTGATGAACGAATGGGAGACTACCAAAACCTCCGCAAACGCCCTTTCCGTAGTTTTTCGCATCCGGATATGGCTATATTTTAATCAAGACGTGACCAAGGTCTTGGTCACGCTTCCAAACTTTCTGAAGTGACTACTAAAATGAATACTAGTAATTCACTTCCAGTTTTTCCTTCTGCCTCCCACGTGTCTGTTCCTGCCTACTGCCCTCTTCGCTCGATTATAATCTTGCAATGTATTGTGAATTACGGTGAAATTTGACGTTTTGGGGTGGTTTGACCCTTTGACGTGAAGTGGCAATAAATCGACCTCACGATTTGATTCGTCAAAACTACCTTAATTCAGCCAATCAAACAGTCCCTGAGTCTGGGAAATGAACAGCGGTCCCGGCGAGACGACAGCGTGATCACCGACACAGTTCACTACTGTCTATTCGGCTATAGTCTCGGTTCTCATGCAAACATGTACTACATCTCGTGTTTTCATGAAACACGTTACTCAAGTCTACCGTTACATAAGCTCACAGTTAAGCAAGTCCGAGGATAACAAAGTCGCGATGTGCAGATGGGAGGCAACAATCAAGTACATGTACGGTTGTATTCGGGGTACATGTGCGCACGTTATTGCTCTCGATGGGAGTGCGCTGTGGCGTAGTTTCCTTGAACCTACCGATAGCAGTGATTGTGGTCGGTATTGTGATGATGGCCTGTGAGCGTGCGCAGAAGAAGGCGCAGGAGATGGTAGAATCAAGAATGAATTGATAGCGTTAAGACTACTACGCTATCACTAAGCTACGCGCAACCAACCATTGATGTATCGTCGGGAAAACCCCTTGGTTCGCAAGAGGACATGTTGGTATGCGAAAGGACACCTTGGACTGAAGAGGTGTTGACTAGTCATCGGGTTGGGAATCGGATGATGGGCACGGTTACACCCTCTCCTACTTAAGACAGAACGTGCCATCATCACGCGGTCAGAAATGAGAGGGAACTGTGACGTGACAGTTGAAATTGGAGATGGCAGACAAAGGCAAGAAGCGCAAGGCGAGCGAAATCGTCGAGGATGCCGACGACAGCGCGGAAGAGGCCGAAGCGCCGGCGCCACAAGTGGAGGTAGTGGACTTCACAGCCGAGTCGGACGACGAAAACGGAGTGGCGCCGACCGAGGATGCAGCCGAGGAGGCGCAGCGCATGGCCGACTGGGAGGCCGCGAAGCGCAAACGGATGGGCCAGCTGGAGTAGCAAGCGGCTGCGGACTTGGTGAAAAGTGCCATGCAGACAGTGTGCAGAGGCTACTGAAGTAGCACTTAGCACGGGAGGAGGCCACCAAGAAGGCCAAAGTGATCGTAGCGGCTGCAGCGAAAGCGGCTGACGAAGCAGCCAAGGAAGCTGCAGAAGCAACGAGTAAGGCGCCAGCGGAGGTGTGACTGGGACACCATCGGGTGGTGGGAAACATTTCAACGCTGCGGGTGTTGGGAAAAAGCAAGGAAAGGCGAGCGTGAAGGTAGTCGCCGTAAAGACGGAAGCCAAAGTGAATGGCGAATTTGGTGGTCCGGAGCGGACCGGCCTCGCTCGAGACGAAGTGTTCGAGCGAGAGGTGGAGTTCCACTCGGATCGCTCGCGAAACTTTCACGCCTGTCAGGTGGGGTGGTGTAGACTTGGGGTACGTGCGCGACATTACGTGCCGTTTGACAGTGGTGGGCGAGTTCGACGAAACTCGTGACGACTGGGACTACCAGGCGGCCAATGCTGCCGGCGTGGAACGATATCTGCGCTTGTTTGCAAGCGCCCAATCGTTTGAGCTGCGGGTTTTGTGGATGCTTTGGTCTTGGAATGCATGCAATTTGCGAGGGTGAGTTTTCACCGGTTCGATGAGTTCAAGGGTGCCATGCGCGAGTTGCATGAACGGGAACGCCTGGAGCGCTGGACTGTGGACGTGGGGCAAATCGGGCTTTGCAATGATGAGACATTGCCTGAGTACCTTGTAGCGTTTGTGTGGACGTTTGTTGGACAAGGCAGCGGGCTGCATGGGCAGTTGCTGCTGAAAGCGGGGTGGTTGGTCATCTCGCTGTCTAATGACGCCGGGGTGCGGTGACAGAAGCATGGCTGTTTGGACGCTCGGTCTGTCGCGCGCAGCGCCGCCCACGTAAATATGCGGCGCGAACCTGAGGTAAATTTTGCTTGGTATAATCCACTAAATGCTAAGTTGTAGTTGGCTCGACTCGCACAGCGAATTGCGGTCCCATCGTTGCCCATCGTGGGCGATCGGTGGTGTCGCGACGGTCACCTCCTCGAGAGCAAGCGGCGATGGTGATCGCGGTGAAAGTGCAATGGGCGCGATTGATGTCCAGCGGGATTTTGGTGCTCCCGGCGAGCGCCTGGTCGATCGTGTGGGCGCGCGAAGATGCGCAGGTGCGGGCAACGGCTGCGCAGGTTGCAGCGCGATTGTCTGCGGCACGGCCGGTGAATCCGTTTGCGGGGTACAATCCACCGGCGAGGCCACAACAGAATGGTCAATTGACAGCGGCGGAGCAGCAAGCAGCCGCGGATTATCGGGCGGGGGCGGGGGTGGCGACGCCTGGGGCGCCTGGGGAGGAGGAGAAGTCAATTGCGGCGGAAGAGGGAGAAGAGCCGCCGCGAGATCCAGAGGATCGTTTCCCGTCGCTTCATCGGGCGTAGATGTAGATAATGGGGGTAAATGCCGTTTGAGTTTACCCACATAAAATGTTGGATGGATCTGCCATGAGTTGGACAGATCGAGTCTGTAGTTGGTTGGACTAACCGCGCCGAGAACGGTAAAGGGGTCGTGCCAAGCACTGCGTAGCGTGACGTTGGAGTACATTCCAACCGCACTAGTGCGGAATACATGGGCGGGTACCACCGACTTGTGGAGGAGAACTTGTTCGCCAGCGGTGAAAGACGCGAGGTTAGATCGGCCATGTTTGTCGGCTTGAGTTGATTGGAGTTGCTGGGCGGAAGCGATGCTGTCATGGATCTTTTGCATGACAGAGACTCGGCCAAAGAGGAAGCTCGGGATGGTTTGGAGAGTGCCGCTGGGGGCGTTGGGGAGTACGCCTGCAGAAGAGAGCCGCGCAGTGATTCCACCCCCACTTGAGACCGAACCGTAGAGCATCAGAGGGAGGCGGGGGTGTTGGAGATGGACCGCATAATAGGGTGAAAAGCCAGTGGATGCCTGAACCGAGGCGTTGTAAGCGAAAACCGCATGCTGTACGGTGACAGCCCACGAGGAACCGGTAGAGATGGAGTAGCTCCGAAGGATATCTTCGAGGACGCGGTTGGTGTGTTCCGTTTGGCCGTCGGAATCGGGGTGGTCCGAAGTCGACATGTCGAGTGAGGTGTCGCACAGGACAAAAATGGTGGACCAAAACTTTGCCGTGAACCGCGGGTTTCGGTCCGAAACGATGGAGCAAGGGAGGCCGAAGCGACAGAAAACGTGGTCGAAAATGAGGCGACGTGTCCCGGACGGAGACGGCAATAACGTATTTCGACGCGCGGTCGACACAAGCCATAATAATGGCGTTGCCGCGGGCGTCGCGCGGCAGGCCAAACATGAAATCCAAGCTGACGGACGACTAAAGTTCGTGGGGAATAGGCAAGGGTTAGAGCGGTGCCCGAGAGGAGGCGGTGATCTTTGTGCGCTCGAAGTCGCAGTTAGCGACGTAGCGCACAACGGATTTGTACATGCGGGGCCAACAGTAAGAACGCGCCAAGACCGCGTGCATTTTGTCGAGGCCAAAATGGTCCCCACTGGGGGAGTCGTGGTACGACCGAAGGAGGGTGAGGCACAGCTGCGCGTCGCCGGGCACGACAATGCAAGGGGGCGAGTCCGTGGTGGGTAGGAATATCGAAAGCGAGGGCGAAGCGATGTAAGGCCGGCGAAGCGCGGCGGGGTTAGGTGGAAACGGGGTCGGTGAGCGCCGCCAGGCGCGACGAGCAGTCAGCGTCAAAGGGGTACACCGCGCGAATCCGATCGTGAAGACCGGACATCCAAAGACCGATCGTGGTCCGTTTGAAATTTGGACGCCGAGACAGGGCGTCGGCCAGGATGTTGTCCTTCCCGGGCTTGTACTGAACCGAAAATGTGAATTCGAAGAAGAACGAAATCCAGCGCGCCAAACGCTGCGAAAGGTGCGGTGTGTTCGTCGCCGTGCGTAAGGACGCATGATCGGTGTAAACCACGAAGGGTTCACCATCGAGGAGGTAGATGCGGAACTTGGTTAGGGCGTACTTCATGGAGAGAAGTTCCAAATTGTGAACTGGGTACGCCCTCTCAGCCGGATGGAGTTGACGGCTTTGGTAGGAGTCCGGGCGAGGGTGACCGGAGGTCTCGAGCTGCATAAAGCAGTAGCCGTTGGCAAACTGCGAAGTATCGCAAACGACGGAAAAAGATTTGTCGAAGTCTGCGAGCACCAAGACCGGGGCGAGTTGAAGATTGGTTTTGAGGCCTTCGAAGGCCGACTGACAAGCGGAATTCCAGACCCAAGGAGCATCCTTGACGAGAAGCCGAAACACGGCGGGGCGATGTTTGCGAGTACTTGTGGAGGTACGTCGCAAGGCCCAGCCAGCGACGAAGATCCTTGACGGAGGAGGGAATAGGCCATTCCGAAATGGCCTTAATCTATTCGGGATCAGCCCGACATCCCCACCAAATCTCCCAGGACTGGGATTTCGTCGACACCAAACATGCATTTGGCGAGGTTGGCATAGAGTCCGTTGGCACAGAGGACTTCAAACACCCTGCGGACATGGCCGTAGAGAACGTCAAGTTCGGCCTGCGCGGATGAAGCGCAACTGTGTGTTAGCCATAGGCAGACAAGGATTGAAGTTACATAGTTAAAGCTATATATATGTGATTTAAGCTGGAAGAGCTCCAGGCTTCACATCCCTCGATTACTTCAGTGTGACGAGGGCCAATAGCTACCTTGTTTTGATCCTACACACACTACTTGAAGGTTGCATATATTGAGAGATATGACAAACTTCAATCAGTGCAGCTAAGGTTGCACTACTTACATGTATGCATGTCTTTGGCTACTTACATGTATGCATGTCTTTGGCGATGATAATTATGGAGGTTCTAGAGCTAAGCTCACTTCTGAATCCACCTTCCTTTGAGCCACTACCCCTACATCTGTGTGTGTTGAGTGCCAACGTCTGTTACTGTGGACGTAAATGTCGTCGAAGTACGACGGTGCGAAGGCGCGAAACGCGCGGAACTTCGCGGTAACATGCGGTTGAACGTCGCCGGGGCGTTGCATAGACCCTGTGGCATGCCCTGCCACTCCCATAACATGCCTCTCGGCGTATAAACTGCCGTTTTAGCGATGTCACACAGACGCATCAGGATTTGGTAAAAGCCATCGCGGAGGTCGATGGTGGAGAAAATGGTAGATCGACCCGTGCCGTCCATAATAACGTCCTTGTGATGCATCGGCGTCTGTCCCGGAATTGTGGCCACGTTCAATTTGTTAAAGGCGTGTACAATACGCGATTTTTCCCCCGGCTTCTTCACACAGAAGGTCGGGCTGTTGTGAGGGGAAATGCTCTCGCGGACGCGACCCGCCGCCTTGCCGGGCGTGAAGAATGCATCGATGGCGTCGACTTGGTCGCGAGGTAGTGGCCATTGCCGACGCAATACTTAGCGCCGGGCACGAGATCAACCTCGTGTTGAACGCCCTTGTCGATGGGAAGTCGGCAGGGTACCTCGTCGGGAAAGACGTCGTCAAACTCTTTGAGGAGGTCGTAATAGGGGTTGGACCGCAGGGAGTCCCGCGTCTGGGACTTCAAAGGAGCATCGAGGACTGATTCATCTGCGGTCGAGGTCGAAAAGAGATCCATCTCTTCTTCGACAATGTGCATCACCAATGCGGCGATTTCGTGGGCGCCGAGAGATTCCACAAGCGAGTGGAAGCTCATTTCTGGCATTGCCAGTATCATCGGAGGACGTCCGAGGGAGTTCATTCAAGTTGCACGTTTCTTCGATAAACCCCGAAACCTCCAAAGGACCTAGGGTGTCCTTAGTAGGTCGCCTCGCGCCTACTGGGAGAGACCGTTTCCCGCCGCACTCGAGCTTGGAGCGGGGCGGAAAGGCGGGCATGAGGCGCCATGGATTGAAGCGGTTAGGTGGACCGCTCGGCGAACGACGCGAGTGGGTCTCTGGTGCGGCACGGGAGGAACCTGGTGTTCTCGTAAGAGATGGGTAGAGCGTGGCGTCTGGCGTCGGCTTGAGGATTTCCCGTGAGGTGTGAGGAGCGCGCGGCGGCTACTAAGCTTCTTATCCTAGTTCTGCAAGTGGGGTTTCTGTGAGGGGTGTGTAATGAGCGGTGGCTGGCGTCGGCTTGAGGAGTTCCCGTGAGGGATGGGTGGAGCACGGCGGCTGGTGTCGGCTTGAGGAGTTCCCGTGAGGGATGGATGAAGCGCGGCAGCTGGCGTTATCTTGGGGAGTTCCCATGAGGGATGGGTGTAGCGTGGCGGCTGGCGTCGGCGTGCGGAGTACCCGTGAGGGATAAGGAGTGCACATTGTGCATTGGGATTTGTGAGCTGCTTGCCACCAGAAGCAATCATACAAGCCAGCTCGTCGGGCGGCAACGAAGGATTCTCCATGCCAAGGGCTTCGACGGCCGCAAACGAGCCGCAACCAGTCACTTGGACTGTGTCAATGCTTCTTGGTGAGTGACGTGTGTAATCCTCGAACGGCGGCATCGTACAACCCCATATTGCCCCACTATGTGCCTTCGTAGATGGGGCCAGGCAACGACTCAAGCCACGGCACGTGCGGTGTCTTTGTGGCCCACGAGCGACCAAATCCCGTGAGCCAAGGCGGCTGCAAGCGGCGGCTCGGACAACACGTTGATGCTACGACATGACTATCGAGATGAGTAACAATACATATAACATACATGCATGCATTCACATACTTTAGTTGACATGTCAGTTGCGAAGAGAAAAAACCTTTAAATACTTATTCAGTCAATATATTATTTTCTGCAATACCTCGTTCGTAAACAATACCCATGAAACTTTATAAATCTTGCATTGATTTGCAGAAAGGCGGCAAGTTGCAACAATAATGGCGCCAACTGAGCTCGATGGCCGACGCACTGGGCGTCCTAGTACCAAGCAAATTAAGGGAATGCCCAAGAAGCACAAAAACCTCTACCATACCTACGAGAAAAAGCTTCATATAATCAACTGGCGCAAAGAACATTCCATGGAGTCCGCCATCGACACGTTCTTCGCCGGTGTTGCGGGAGACAAGCGCACAACAGTCTGAAAGCAGATCCTGCGCTGGGAATCACAACGGGACCACATCACTATGGCTTGTTCCAAGGCTCGAACGCGGGACATGCGTACACTACGCAAGCAAGGCATATCTACAACGCTCACCCGTGTTGCAGAGGAAAACATTGCTCAATGGGTATCTGAACTTCGTGAAGATGGCATACCTGTATCGAAGACTCTCCTCGCGTGCAAGGCAATGGATGCGGCGTTGGAACAAGGCTTAGCAGTGAACCAGTTCAAGGCAAGTCCATCGTGGATGAAAGGGTTCATGAAGCGGTGGGGACTTGCGATCCGAGCGAAGACTCGCTCTGGCCAAGCGAACCTTGCTGATGGAGAGAAAGCTCTTGCCGAGTTTAAGACATCTATTCAAAAAGGTGCTACGAATACCTTCCAAAGCAAATGATTGACAAAAAAGGTTCCAAAACTGTGTGGATCAAGGCGTCTGGTCACGAAAAGGATCGCGTGACTGCTATGCTTCTGGCCGATTCCAAGGGAACGAAATATCCTCCGTTTTTGGTCCTGAAGAGTAAAGCATCAACAATCAAGGAAGTTGTTCAAGAAAACCTTACCCAACGTCACGGTTTTGGGCGTCAAGTTTGGAAGGAAATCGAAGACCTCGAAGCCAATTTCCCCCTCCAAATCTATGGGAACCCTTCGGCCTGGTGGAATGCCGGTATTTCCTTGCGCTTCCTTGACTTCCACTTTGGACATCGACGCGGCCAAGCGGTGGACCCAGTCTTGCTCCTATGGGATGACTTTAGCGCTCACTTCACTGATGAAGTTGTCCAACGAGCGAAGGACCTACAAGTACACCTCTACCGTGTGCCGCCAACTTTCACATGGATATGCCAGCCCGCCGATGTTGCTTGGATGAAACCTATCAAAGCATCAATGCGACGTAAATGGGTTGACTACCTACGACGATCAATCGAGCTTAACGGACGAGATGGAGGCAAGGCGTTTCGACTGAAGT